CGATACACCTTCCGAAAGTCAAAGAGGGGCTTCAGGATCTTGCCTTCTTCATTTCTGCTGGCTGGATCTCCTTCGGCCTCTGGTCGCACGGCGTCGAAAGTCTCCTCCAGAGAGTCGTCGTCACCAGGGGCCGCCAGCTTCTCCTCATCCTCTTTTCTTTCCGGCACGAAGGGGGCCGCCGGCTGCGCCGATCGAGGCCGCGCAGCTGCAGAAGAGGAAGCAGTGGGCCGATCCACATCGGCGTCGCCGGTGCGGTAGCCGAAGCAATGGATGCGCCAGTCGGCCTCGTCGACGGGAGCATGAAGTTGACTGTGGCCCATCAGGCGCATGTCCTCTACAGCATGCACCTGCCAAGAACGCAAAGCCCCATCCACAAGCAAGCGCAAAGGTGCCGCAGACGACGACAGGTATGGATCAGGTACTTTTCGAGTCCATGGACGAAGCGAGCAAAGAACACCGAGGACTTGGAAAGTATCGAGGAAGACGTCCTGGAAGACACGGAGAAGGATGGGATCCTCGACCCAGTGGTCACTATGCACGCTCTTCTCCTTGGCAAAGAGGTCGAGACAAGACTCCACCAGCTGCATGAGCGCGGCCTTGAGGTAAAGCTGGTTGTCGTCCGTGATCTGCAAAGAGGCGTCCACAGCCAGCCGAATCATGCTGTAGTCGCCGGACCTCGCCAGAAACTTGAACGGACCAGTGGGGTCCTCCAAATCCGACAAAGTTGGACGAGGTTGACGCGTTGTCCGCGCGGAAGGTACGCCACGAACACCAGGTTGACCATAGCGACACTCGCCGGGGGCCAGGGAGTGCTCACAGCCCGGCGGCGCTGCGCGACCAAGTCGACACTTTTCGCAGCTGTAGAAGAAGCCATGCAACCAGAACAACGTCCGCGGCCAGGGCTTGCAGGTGTGAAGTTGATCAGCACGAAGAAGTCGCCAAAGGTCTTGACCGAACGCGTGACACAAGCGCTTCGGATAGACGGCCGCCAAAGTGGTGCGGTTGCAGCCATTGCATTGCCCTTGAAGAACGCCATGAGGTCGACCCTTGTGGCCCGAGCAGCGCTTGATGAGGACTTTCCATTTGCGATTGCTGAGAAAGGTGGTCGCCTTTCGGATGGGATTTTGATGTTCATCTTGAGCGCCCAGCATACATTGGTCCAGGCGTTGCATGCCGACTCCCTCCATGTTCATCAGGCGTGCAACCGGACTGTCACGATAAATCGCCGACCCTGTGGGTTGCTCGATCGTGAAGCCAAGCTCGTGGTGGTGTTGCCATGAGGCGCTGTCAAAGATGAACTCCAGGGTGGGAAGCTCAGCAGCCCGATCGAAAGAACGTTTGGCCGGATCTTTTCCAGCAGAAGCTATGGACCATGGACCACAGTTTGGCGCTGCAAAGAGGTGCGCAGGCAGCAAAGATTGTTGACACTCGTGTAGAAGCTTCTGATGTCCAGCATGTCCAAGGTCCCAGCCATACCGATAGTCCACAGGGAAGCCGACCACGAAGTTGGCCAGCAACAGCATTAGCGACAGCCTCCCTGAACCAGAGCACCATTCCCAAAACTGAAAGCGAAGTTCCTTACCGCGCGCTTGCTGTAGCCATTCTCGAGCGTTGCGCGGCGTGACGGGTCGTCGTCCAGACTTCGTGTAGAACTCCTCGGGGATGGCGCGGTAGTACTGTTGGGCCTGCTTTGTTCGCTCAGCAGACCAGTGCTCAGGAAAGTGGTCGCCATCATACGCTGGGAACGCTTCCGGGTCCAGATAGTGCGTTTCACTGGCTGCTTGGTTGGCCGTGGAAGGCGAAGAGGAAGGTTGTGCTTGTAGTGGTTCTGGTGTCACTGGAGTAGCATCCCGCTGCAACAGGCGAAACTTGGTCTTGCCAGTCCAAAGGTACTCCAGGTCCTTGTTGCTGTTGCTGCCACATATCCAGTCGTCCTTCAGCACTTTCAGAACTGTCTTCTTGCCGACTGCGCGGATCTCAGTGATCCTGTCGCCAAGAACCATGGTCGGGTCGATGGGGCAGTCGATGGCGCATGGAGGAGTGAATAGCATCCTCCGAGGCGTTCGATGATGTCGGATCAGGTAGCTGCCTTCGACTGTCCACGTGTCACGTTCCTTCCTCGCTGGAGGATCTCCCAGAAAAGGCTTTGTAGAGTACTTGGTCGTAGAAGCTGGAGATGTCGTAGCGGATGCGGGCGTTGGCGTGAATGCGTCGTTGGAGGTAGCACATGAAGTGGCTGTTGTGTCCGCCGTAGTTGACGCGCTTGGTTCATGGCTGTCGCGACTTTCACATTGGGCTCCTTGTAGCGATGAAGGTGTGCTTTTCGGAGTGGATGTTGCGGATGGATATGACGGGTACCGCTCACATTCCCGACTGGGGCAGCCTTGAAGGAAACAATGCCTCACATCGTTCCATTGCTGACTCGTCTCGGCTGCCCACAGGTAGAGCTGCTTGTTTGCCTTCTTAGTTGTCTCCTCAGACACTTCGCGGGCGTCATCAACGGGCAGCAGGTAGTGGCCGGAGTCCGTCAGGAGCATTCGCATGTAGTGCCATCCATGGTTGTCATCCCAGGTGGCCAGAACTCCATCGCCATTGCTGAACCAGTCCGTCAGGATAGACGCCCGCTGCTTCCGCAGTGCAGGGTTGCTTAGCAAGGCGGGACACAGAGAGCCTTCTCCGCCTATGACGTCTGCACTGAAAGAGCCAGTGGCCCCGGCCAACTGCACTGGGATGGAGACCTCGCCGAGCGTGGCCTCCTGTGTGCCTGAGATGCCGCTCACACTGTTTTGCTTGTCGTAGCGCCACGAGACCTGCTTGCCAGTAGGTAGAGCACAATGCTCCAACAGATCTCGCAGCGTTTCGCTTCCAATCAACCCAGAAGCTGCACCTGGATCGACAAGTAGCCCGCGACGCTTTTCGCCCTTCACGGTGTGGAATGCCGCGTGGTCGCTGTAGATGGACGTTGCGAAAGAGAAGTCCAACCTCTTGACCACGGGGTTGCTGGTGCCACTGGTAGTAGACGAAGATGTCGCTGTAGGGTCGCTACCATTTGGCTCCTCGTTGTCGGACTTCTCGGTTGTTGCAATCGCTTTGACTCCACCGAGGGCAATGACAGGGACCTCGTCGTCTGCGTCGAGCTGGAAGTGCACCGCCTTGGTCTTGACGGGCGGAGTGAGCTGCCTTGGTTCCCCAAAACAGCTTCGCAGTGTCTTCTCTGCCACGTAGCCATAGTAGCCGTAGCCCTTTCGACCGCTAAACCCTTTTCCACGCGGTGTCCAGCGAGACTTGCCTTTTCCCTTCTTGCCCTTCTTGCCCTTGCCGAAGCCCTTACTGGACCCATAGCCCTTGCCTTTGTAGGGTCGAAAGCCAGAGCCCTTTCCAGAGCCACTGCCGGAGTTGTTCACGGGGCAAGACGGAGCGGTGTGCCAGCGAGAGCCACATATGGAGCAACCAATGCCTTTGCCCTTGCCTTTGACCGGGTAGTTGCCCTCGACGACGTTGCCATCTCCATCGTGTTCGGAGGCGGCTGCCTGCAGGCCGCCTCCACCAGAAACAGCGGAAGCGGATGTATCGTCTGCGTCATCGCCATAGCCGCTCCAGCTGTCCCAGTTGCCACCAGATTCCCAGCCTTCGTCTGGGGGCCAGAAGTCTTCGTCGTACTCCTGAGACTCGTGAAGTCCTCGGCCCAGGACCAGCCATCTTCCGTCCAGTCGTACTCATCCCAGTCTTCAGCAAAGTAGTTCTCGTCGTTCCAATTCTCCTCGACGTAGAGCTCGGCGCCGGCGTCCGTGCCTCTGTTGACAAGTCGCAACGCAAGGGTCTTGGCCTCGATGAAGCGTCTCATGTCGCCTTGCACCTGCAGCTTGATGTCCTCGATGAGCTTAGCAGGAAGCCCTGAGTTGCGGAAGAACAGGTAGAACTTCGCCACCTCGTTGACCTCGAAGCCAGCCCGAGCCGTTGCCTCCTCCAAGCGGATCTCCCATTCGACGGCATACTCGGAGAAGCTGAGCTTGCCTCTGCGAAACTCCATGAAGTCTTCGATGGAGCGACTCACCATCTCTTGGTCCGAGATGCCGAAGGCAGCTCTCAAGCTGTTGCACAGAGCTTGAACTCCAGAGGGGCAGTGTTGTTGGAGCACCACCGAAGGGTTGTAGGGATCTCGAACTTCTTCTATGCTCAGACGCACCAGGGCATCCGATCCGACGTCTACTCCTCCGTCAGGACGGGGTAGCCTCAGCTGCATTCCAAGGCGTTGCGCCTTGCCTTGCAGCCTCCCAGCCACCAGTGGTCCAACCATGGTGTCGTCTCCATCATACACAGAGTACCACAGCTTCAAACGCTCGAAGAACAGACGAAGGGGATAGTCTGGTATCCCTGGCGCCCATCCAGGAGGCACATCTTTCCTGAACTCGTGCAAAGGGATGCCTCCGCCTCCTGGTGTCGCCATTGCGCCGAAGAGCTTGCCGAGGATCAAGTAGCCGAAGACAAGGGCGCTCGGGCTGTAGGGCTGTCGGTGCTGAAGTCGTTCAGGCAGTCGTGCTCGATGTCCACGAAGTGTCGTGTCCTTCCCAGGCAACTGACCTCGTAGTGCGGGTGACACTGTTGGGGGCCGCAAAGGCCGAAAACTGATCTTGTCCACTCGGTCTGGTTGTTGGGCACAGCGATGCCCAGCTTCAGCAGAAACAACCAGATGTGTCGAATTGAGCGGGCTCCAAGGATCGTCGTGAAGGTGAAGGGAGCTGGGCAAACCAGCTCAGGACCGCGGAAGTCCTTGGCAGCCCTATGGCGTCGCTTGGCTTTACACGGAGACCAGGCTCCGATACCAAACTTAGACAATCGATCTTTCACTGGGCCCAAGCGCTTCGGTATGCACATGTGACTCAAGGTACTTGACAGTGCTGCAGAAGTTCACTGGCAGAAACTGTCTGAGCATGTGTACTACCGTTCTTCTGCTGCAGAAACCGTCTTGACATCAGAAAACAAAGGCTAGTGGCTCGGGCCTGAAAACCTCGAAGGCTTCACGGCTTTTGGACGATGATCTGCCAGCATGTAGCGGCTTCCTGGCTGCATGCGGTTGCATATTCATCTTGCACGATGCGTGTGTTTGTTCATGCCCGTTGAACGAGGCGGTAGCAAGCAGGAGCTACACTGTGCTACACATGACATGCAAACATTGTCAGAAATGTGCAGATCTGCTGCAGCCTGACACCACGCAGCTTCGGCCGTTCCATTTCCAGGTCTTCGACCGCCCATATCTCGCGCACTTGAAGCATACCACATGTGCCGAAGACTCTCCGCGATCCGCATTCCTACTTCGTCAAGGCCGCCTGTCTAGACTCGCTTTTTGATTCCAGCGTGGGAGATGAGAAGGATGCCTAAGCTACCACCAGCTAGCTAGCTGCAACAGCTCTCAGACAAGCGTACCTCAAGAATCCTCAGGTGCTAGGCCTCGCGCCGCAAAACTTGACATTGTGACGCTGGTCGGTCCGATAGAATTCGTTGGGTCGGTCACTGCTCTGGTTCCTGACAGACCGCAAATGACGGCAAGGTGCCAACTATGCCAACTGCGAGGTTGACCGTTTCGAAGCCCGCTGCCCCGGCAACAAAAGCATTACTGCTGCCAACTGATGCAAACTGGAACCAGCCAAGCATCGTCTTTGAGAAGAGCGTGCTCTGCCCCTCAGCGCAAGCAAAACCAAGACTATGGAAAGTGATCTCTGCTTCGTAGCTACTTGCACGAGGATTGCCCTTTGAGCTGCTTCTGATGACTCGCTGATATACTGACCATCACATCACCTGAAACCCGCAGCCAGGAGGCTCTGGAGATGCTGACCTGGCTACTCGAAGTACTGAGCACACTCAGACATACGCATAACACGCATAACACATGGCTTTCACGAAACCGACTCAGGGCATCTCAGGACCCCACCTGTCATCCAGCTTCTTGCCCTCGTGGATCTGGGACGGTGCCACTTTACCTCTTGTTGGCTGCCCTAAAGTCCCTACAGGCTGTTTCTAAAAGCTGTCTGGAACGCCTGAGTCATCTAGCCACTCCTAACTTCCTTGGATTTCTTGGACGCCCACTCCAGTAGGCCAGCTTCTTCTGCGAAAGCAACTGGGGCACCTGGCAACGAGCTAAACATCTAGTCATACTGGCTGCTCTCACTTGCTACATGAAGTGCGGAAGCGCGAATGAACTTCTGAAGTTCCGACCAGCACTAAGATTTCGAACACAAAAAAGCTATCATGACGTGGGCAACTGTCCCTGATGAGAGTGCTGCTGAAAGCGCTTGGCACACTGATACGTGGCAGGGCCACTGGTGCAAACGCTCCGGTCTGACGGCAATCAGTTTCCGTCAGAACATCCAGCCTCCGAAATCAGGTGTTCACAAAACCGTCGCTTCAAAAAAAGCCAGAGGAACACTTCTCTTTGCATCCAAGCAACTGCCGGAAGAAGCTCATCCTCTTCCGAATACGGTCCAGCGTTTCCTTGCTCAAGACCGAGTACCTCGAAAAGAGACTCTCCACTTCCGCCACTGCTCCACGCGCTGCTCCACGCATGCACACCTGTGCCGACAGCTAGAAACGGTTCGCAATGGATCGTAAGGTCCTGGCCCAGCTTGCGCCAGGTCTTCGTTGATGGTGTTGCGCATGACTGCCCGAAACAGCTCCCAAACACTCGTCACACCTCGTTGCAGCACTCAGTGTCTAGTCAATGTGACTTGACAGATGCGTCGCTGTTGCCTTGCTTTGCGGATTGGGCTGAGGCGACTAAGAGATGGACCAACTGCCTTGAGTTTGTCCATGACACCTGCACGAAGTCAGGGTCCGGATGGCCCGTCTTGAGTTTGAAACAGCTGGAAGTTGTACATCCTTCACCGTGCTGCCGCGACACTCCTCACATTGCTCTTGCCATTCTTTTTCGGGAAAGACCATTCTGGGCGAATGGCCTCCAAGCCGATTGCTGGAAGGATGTGTCACGAAGAGCAAGAAATCTGAGGGCCTTCAAGAACTGGAGCAGCTCATTTTGCCCTTCAAGAGAGCCCGTGTAGTTCGAGTCATCTCTGCCTTCGTTGTTCGTCCACTTTTTGGCAAAGTGAGGGTCAACGATCGCTGGACATCGAGCGATATCGCTGCACTCTCACGAGTTTGCTGTGGTGCTTGCTTGTCAGCTCCCTGTCTTAGCCATAACTGTCATTGCATTTCATGGGGTGCTGCCTTGAAAGTTCCCGGGGAACCTCACACAACTACTGGATACGACAAGTACAGCTGGGCAATGGCTTAAGCGGATGCTGCTTATGTCCATGTATTGACTTGTTCCTCCGGTGCCCAACTGTGCAGACACCCATGCAACGCATGGACTCTCATGTTCCTGTGGGCGACTAAGGCTGCAGCCGACCTGCTTCCTGTCCTGCAAGTGCCCACTCAGCCACTCCGCAGGCATGCACGCACAGGGAAATCGGAAGACAATCAGCTGTATGCGAGGACGAACAGAAGCCGCCTGTTTGTCAAGGTAGCTACTCCTTTACCACAATGCTACAATGATATGCTTCTTGCACCTACTCGTTCAGCGCAGACATACATACACTATCTGCGCTAAGCAAGGCTGCTATGGGAGTCCAAAGCAACCAATGATATTGTGACCATCATGTTATGGGCAAGCCTGACATGGCTGCACACGACAGCAGCGTGCATCAGACACGTCGTATCGAATGCACTTGCAAAATCTTGCAAAGCACCACGAAAACCTCGCAGCAACAAGTCAGGCTCTGCTTTGCAATATTGTCGCCGCACATGAACAATAGAGCTCAAAGCTACCCAAGTCAGCTCAGCTGATGGGGCCTGATTCAGACGTGCTAACACACTACCATGGACACTTCCAGAGATGAGGTTCACACGTCATGGTCTATGTCGAGCCTGTGAGGCATGGGTGAAACAAAATGACAAGGGTGAAACATTGAAAATGCTTGCACTTCTCATAAACGCTTTATGACACAACTTCGAAAATGCTTATGCTCTGCCGTGCTTGCACCCACACTCAAAGGCTGTCAGCGCTCTGTGAGGTCTGGTGCCGACCCTGTTCAAGGCTAATGGGCACCCTGTGACACTTTCACAAAAGTGTGACAGTCGAGCGCATGCCCCTGCGTGAAGCAGACTGTGCCACAATGCTACCTATCCCAACCTTCCGAGAAGGTGTGAACGAGTACTTGTGGTCAAACTTCACCTGGCAAGGGGCATTCAGCACTGACAATCACTCCGATCTGAGCCAGCCATGAGCCGCTTCAATTTCTGGGTTTAGGGAAGATCTCCGTTTGTGTTTCTGTCCGATGAGACTCTCGATTGGGATCCAGCACGAGCACGCCGGCAGCATAGACCAACAGCATCAGCGGACGTGGGCATTGGGAACAATGAACTTGCACTCAAGTGGAACTATGAGCTGCATTTCTTCAGAGCTTTTGGGAGACATGGGAGCAGTTCTCACACAAGGTGAAAATTTGACACACACATTCGAATACTCTGTGCACGAGCCAGACAGGTGTGGTTGGCGCCTGCTCTCCAAAGGCGCGTTCGAGAAAGTTGTATTTGTCTGAGCAGGCGAGAGGACTGCAACAACTGCAACCCAAACTCCCAGACTGTGTCCACGGCTCTGAGGTGTCCACATGTGCCCACTTTGGGCAGAGGCGAATCAAATCAAACTGGCATGTGCAGTGCGCTTGGGGGCGCACTTGCATTGTGATAGCGCCGGTATCTGGCTGCTTCAACTTTCTGCTCTGAGGCCTCATGGTCACGTCATGCTTTCCCCCACGACTAAGCAGACACACATGCGCTGGACTCTGGACAGTAGCCACAAATGAGGCAGCGGCAATCAAGATTCGATCGCAGTCCAGTTTTCTTTGCTCCTTCAGCTTCTCGCTGCTACTCATACCGGGGCCTCACTCGGTGAAGACTCATGTGAACTGCTGTCCTCCAGCTGCTGCATCAGCGAGACTTGGATCCTGCTCGGGATTCCAGAGTGCGGTTGTTCAGCGTGTTCAAGAACTTTGCAAAAGCATGCGCGTCCTTGCTTTGAGCTTGTCATTCTTCTGGGCTTGGGACTCCGTCTTTTCACTCCGTGTCTCACCAACCTGTTCAAGAATCATAAGTCCAGGGCACATGGCGACGCACTTCTAGAGGCCCCCGCGAGGCCAAGGCTTGAAGAAGCATCGCTCACCACAGCTCATGAAACTCAAAAGGTTTGAAGGCCCCCAACGAACCTCAAAAGCCACGCTGCGAACACTCGAATTTTGGGGGGGGGTTCTTGAAGCGCAAGTGTGCGCTTTTGCGGCCCCCCTATTGTGGGAACAGCAATATAATGTGGTGTGCGTCTGCCTTGGCAAGCCGCACTTCGTAGGCTTCCTGGTTTGCCTGCAGCCGTGCCAATGCCTTCCGCTCCTCAAAAAAGATAAAGCGGTGTTGATGGGCGCTTGATGGCGTTAGACCCTCCAGGGTGCAACGAGAGCGCCGGGGTACCCTCCTAGTTTACGGAGGTGGCCACACAAAAAGTTGCTGCTATAGGCAGAGGCTTGCGATGTCCCGATTCTTTCAGCTCAATGTTGAAGACTCATAGGGGTTCAGCTGCGCAAAAGTGTCAATCACAAAATCCTCGGGTCCTGCATATGCTGGTAGCGCCGGGCACGCCGCACCGACAACTGCCATGCCTCACCAGCTCCAAAAAATTTGCATCCACAAGCACAAAAGTCCTGAAAGAAAGCATCGTGGGGGTGCCTCCAAACCTTCTGAGACCTTGTCCCTCTTTCGCTCAAGCTGCTCGTCGGCAACATCCAAAGCGTGCCTCGCGCTTGAGTGTGCTCTTTCCCTTACACGCTGCCAGTTGCCAAGCCTTATCTTGCGCAACTTGAACTCGTCCATGACTGCTAGTCTTTCCTGGCGGTGCCAAACCGCGCAAAACCACTGCCGGCAGCAATCGGCAACACCAGAACATGGAGGCGGCGTATTCGTGCACACTCATTTGTCTCCTTTGGAGCCTGAATAAACGAACAACTGTTGGCGTGGCTGCATCGTGTTCCTGGTTGCAGACCTTATATCATGGTTCGTGGCATTTCGGACTGATGGCTTTCGAACTTTAGAGTTTTGGACTTTAGGCCGCTCAGGTGCAAGGTTTTTGGGGCATTATGTTCACGACTTCTTGACCTTAGGGTGCTTAAAGGTTGTGTTTTTGGGCTTGCTATGCGCTTCCAACTGAGGTACTGAACCGGGGCAAACATTCCGGTTTGCGCGTAGGCGCACCAGCCAGGGTATCACCGAGTGTGCGGTCGGAACGAAAAAATTGCTTTGCCTTTCAGGCAAGGCGTGGTGGTCTAAATGAGATGTGGAAATATCTCATTGCTTCCTTTCAAACCAGCTCGTACCAATATCGGGCCGGGTGTGTTATTTGACTTGGTGAGTTTGATCTGGTCTGTGAAGTTCGACGTCAAAACCAGATGATTCACCGGTTCCTTCGGCGGAGTAGTCATTGATTTGACTAGAAGCTGAAACTGCTGTTTGTACAGGAAGTGTGATTTGCCTGCCGTTCTCCATACTAGAGTTTGTTTTCAGGGTTTAGCGTTTTGTGTTTACTACATATTCAGGGGTGCAAATTGTCACGTGACCACTCAACATGAAATCATTGAGGTCACGTGATTCACGCTTACATGATCTCATGATCCTCTCGTTCGCTTTGATGAACCTCATAGGATTGGTTCCAAGGCCGATGCATTTAGTGCCTTTCTTGTTACAGATTCACAAAGGGGGAGTCTGTTGGGGGCTGTCCGCAGGTACGGTGTCAGTGACAGGAGGTGGGCAGTGGGCACGAGATGTGTTCCGCGCAGGGCCAATGTCGCCCGAAAGACAGCTACCAGGGACACCTGAAAAGGACGGGACAGAAATTTTTCGATCCTCAAAAGAATCTTCGTACGTATGCGCTACGAGTCATGCAAACCATGAACAAAGACCAAAGACCAGGACACAGCTTATGAGGTAGAACCTCTTTCCAGCAGACATCTCATGATCATCTGTTCGCACCCTCACGGTACATCTTTTGATTGACTGAACCATCTTCCAATCTGATCCACCTTGACAACTTGGAAGCAAAGAAAAGAGCCCCAACGTCAACGATTTGGACCGTAGGAGCTACAGCAGATCTATTCGTGAACGGGTAGATGTGACGCCCTCCCCCTGGTCATCGGCTCAACTCATGGGGCATGAGTGGGCGTCCCGTCCTGCACCTCAGCATCCCGGGCAGCCTTGCGCTCCAAGGCGTCGGACATCCGAAGCTTATGCAGCTCCTGCGCAGGTAAAAGCATCACAAAGCGTTACGAACGCTTGAGGGCAGCAACGGAAACCACAAAAAGGTGCAACGGAAACCAGGCACGAAAACCGTAACAGAGACCAAGGAAAACGCAACGAAAACCATCCCCGACTAAATGGAACCCTAAACGCAAAACCCTGAACCACTAAACCTAGCCCAAGGCTTTGCTTCGAAGTCCACCTTGCCCCTAGGTTCGCTTACGGGTCCAGGTTGCTTTCTGCGATGGTTCAGAGTCGTTTCCTTTTTCTGTTGCGGTTATGCCTCCATAGTTTCGATTCCACCCTGCTGATTTCCGTTACGCCGTTGACTCTTACGAACCACCTTTGAAGAAGCGTCATCGTTGACACGCTACGAGGCACTGGTCTCCAGGCGTGCCCCGCTGATCCTTGTACTTGGACTGTGAAGATTCGTACTCTCTGAGCTGTTGGCTGACCTGGCGCACTTCCGAAGAAAGCATCTTGCACGCAAAAAGCAGGAACTAGATGTTTGCAGCCTACCATCAACCATGAGCAAAGCACCTTGAAGGCATTCTTGGCCATGCGCTCTTCTGCTGCAAGGCGCCGATCCTCGAGCATCTGCGCATCACGTGCCTGGACGACTTGACAAGCAATCCAGGAACATACTTAGCATACTTAGTATGGTTCCTATTGGTTCCTTCTCAAATTATCCAGCTTGCCACGTCTGTAGAAGCATGCTCTCAGAGGATGCAGTTACATGTAGGTCGAGTACCTACTAAGACAAGCACCGAAAAGGCCCCACACGTTTTCGGGATTGTTGGTTGTTTCTTTTTTGGGGTTGCTTTGTGTTTTTGACCATTTGCAAAGTATGGTTGGCATGTTCACTACGCAGGATGTTGGGTAAGGGTCTCGGCGTTCTGGGTAGGGATTCGAAGAACAGGTTCTCAGGGTTTAGGGAGTCCAGGGTTTTGGGGTCTTAGGGTTAGAGAGTTTTTGGATTTCAGGGTTTAGGGAGGTATTCTGGAGTCACGGGTTGCGGATTTTGGGATTCTAGGGTGCAAGGGTCTTAAGGCTGCTGGGTTGTAAAGTTTGGGAATTTTTGTGTAGGGTGTAGAGATTTTAGGGCTTAGGGATTTTAGGGAGGGTTTAGGGATTACAAGGTTTAGGGGGTTTGGGATTTAGGGATTCGAGGGTTTGGCAAGTTAGGGTTTAGGGCTTGGGCTTCCAGTGGTTCGGAGTTCAGGGCTACGATTCAAGGAGAAATAAACGATTCGAAGAAACAAAGGGGCTGAAGGAAAAACACACGGGATTCGAAGAAAAGAAGGAAAGGATCAAACCGGGATTCGAAAAGCGATTACAAGAAGTTCAAAAACACTCCCCCAAGAAACAACATGCACTCCATCTGAAACGATGCAAACACCTCGTTTCCCCTTTCCAGGCATCTTGCAACAAGCTGTCTAAGTCTGCAGGGAGCCTACAAAAGGCTCTGCAAAGAATACGCAGAACAGAAAGCAAAAACGCCACTTCGCCGAAACCAAGGCACCTCTTTGCGACGATACCTTTCCCACACTTTCTCCATGGTTGGAGAAGATTGGTCAGCTCTAATGGGGTCTCGTCTAGGCAGAGAACCAACTGAAAGCGACGAGAACATCCTTACTGCAGCATGCGAGCATTTCCACACGGTTCGATGCCAGCCTACACTAGTGCTTTTTCATATACGAGTTTCAGAAGAAAAAGAGACATTCCAGTATCCAAGCATCTGCGAGTCCTGTTTGTCGGACACAGACTGCATAGTGCTTGGCTGCGGGCTTAGTCCTGCAAATCGCAAGCTGTTGAAAAATCAGGTTGCCCCTGGATGCAGGGACCCTGCGACGTACGGTGACTGAAGGCTGAAACAACAAGTCTGCAACAACAAGTCAAGCACACGTGTCTCGCAACTTGGCTCTTGCCTGGCCCCCTAGGACCGAGCAGAGACCGGAAGCGGCTTTCTGTATTCGCGGTGTCTTGGCTTTCCTTCCGCACAACTCAGTGGCTGCAGGTCACACGGATTCGCACGATGCAACTGGTCCTGGATCGCTTCAGAGGCAGCAGCCAGCCGAGCCCACAAGCGCTGCGAATAGCATTCGATGGACACATGCCTGTCCTGTGCGTAGGAGACACGTAATGCTGGGACACATGGATTGAAATCCCTGGAGAAAAAACAATTCCGCCTTTCGGGCGGGCGTGAAAAAGTCAATGAGCCTCTCTCTGTTCCCATGGAAGTTCTCGTCCTTCCAGCACATCCCAAGCAGAGCACGAAGCTCGATCAGCCATGGAGACCATGTCCTCGCTATCCGGTTGAAGGGATGCCTCGATGTACCATCGCGGGTTGGCTCGCACCATTGCTAGCTCCTGAACAAACACAAACATGTTCAAAACTTTGGGCAACTTTTGAGCACCTCCAGTGAGAGAGATTCCAGCAGGCATCGCCGCCGTGGAGTTGCATCATCTTCATAGCTGTCGCTTGCCATGCCGATTCCCAGCGCAAAGAAATCCGCTTCGCCCGTAGAGGCGTTCGGACCATGACCGCGTTCGTGCAACTGTTCTCGAAACTTCCGGACTCTCTCCTGATTTTGCCTTGCACGAACAAATAAGCAACTCAGGACACACAGAACCTGCAACAAGCCCCTGGCCTGAGAGATTGCCTCCGGCTAACCTCTTTGAAAATATCCGTGATCTTGATTCGCCTCAGCATCTTGAGCTTCTATATTCGTTGCCACAAACGACGGGTAGACGAATCCCTGTTGGACCCTTCCGAGACTGGGGTCCTGGCAATCTTCTCTTGGCGTGGTCTTTCAGTTTCTTGCCAGCTTCACTGGCACGGAACCGCATCTGCCGTGCCTTCTCCAAAAACGCGACTGATCCCTTGGCAGCGATCTGGACACTGCGTTCTTGGGAATCCTGAGTCGATTTCTTTAGAAAGGTCAATTCAGACATTTCAGACATGGAAATGAATGGACCATCTTTGACAAGTGGCCATGCCGGCAGATGGAGATTGCGGCGCAAAGCTGTCTATACTCTTCTGCACACTTTGGACATAGCGTGCAACTTCAGCATCTTCAGCCTGCGATCGCTTCGAAACACACCCTCCAATGACATGAACCCTTGCTGCCGGCACTGCTCCTCGGTCTGCAGCTTGGATCGCAAAGCAGTTGACAAAGCAGCCTCTCAGACGTTGCAAAGCGATGGCTGCCAACAAATGGCGGTGAAATTTCAAGCTGTCCAACCTCTGCTTTGTGCCACTCCTTGTTTGCATCGTGATGACCCATTTCCACATTGCGGCAAACTTGATGCCTGGCAGCCGACTGCAACCAAAAGAATCTTGACAACAGTGATTGGGCTGTCACAATCTGTGGGTCAAACTACACCATTATTATCAAACTTCATGCCTCACAATGCCACTACCACTACTACCACTGCCCATTGCAGCGTCCTCGACAAGGACGCTGCAGACATGGCTGCTCCATCGCCAAGATCCTTTGCATCGCTTTCCAGAATCGAGGTGTGCAACCATGAAAACATAACAAACACAAATGTGCTCCTCCGTGGCCGCAGCCAAAGACATCTGATTCCTCCCGGCGTCATGCTCCTTTGCCAGTATTTTTGATATTCGTTTGCCGTAGTCAGTCTGCTTCGCATCGCAATCAAAACCGGGTCCAAAACCACAGCTTCTCGGATTTGCTTCAAAAGCTCCGGCTTCACAGACATGAAAAGTGCACGTTATTTCACCTTAGCCAATATCTTGAGGCTACGCCGTCAACGCCTCCGGCCAATGTGCTTGATACAATTTGGGGGAACGCCCTTGCTGCGAAAAAATGTTCACTCACGATTTTGAAGCAGAATTCTGGAGACTCTCGAGAATAGTAAGTTCGCGTTGCTTGTACCAGGTTGGCCTTGTTGCTACAACTGTGCTTGCAATGTTCGACAAACATGTCTTCATGTCAAAAGCTGCAGAATGCATGATTGAAACCCACGTTCAATGGCTTCAGTTCATCCGGGCTTACAACGACGTCGCCGCAAAAGTCTTCGCAAACGATTCTTGATGCTCATGGACACAGATTGGCAACGAACTGCAAGACCTTTGCGCACCTGGTTTCCATCTGCCATGTACTGTAGGGTGTAAGATCCGACGTCTGAAAACAATGACACCGAAGCAGTTTAAATGGACCGGCTTTATCTCTCGTAAGAGGGCCGGGCAGTCCCCTGTCGTCGTCTTACAGACACAAGCAAGGGAAAACCAAAGCCGGGTGGGATAGGGAACAAATGTTTCGATGCTTCGCCTTTAAGGTCCCGGCATCGAAGGCATCGAACCAACCAAAACAACAAAAATTGTTTTTGTAAATGAGGTTTTGCACTGGCTTTGCTAGAATATACAAGGGTGCCTGAAGCTTGGCTTGAGTGACGTTGCAATTGCTGCTTGCATTGGTGAGTTGGCTTGCTTTGTTGGCTTGCTTTCCGCGGCTGTAGAAGGCAAGGACCATTTGTTGTTCAACGATCGTTACAACTTCTGCGCACCGATCGGGTCGAGCATGTGGGCTGTTGCTGAGACATGTTCGTGGGTAGGTGTGTTGATTGTCAGTTCACTAGATGATGGTGCTGACCCTGCAACGACTCCGCAGCTCCAGCTGATCTTTGCCCGTCACCGCGCCTGCGTTCGGAACGGGGGTTTTCGTGTCCTTGTGACTAGTGCTCCGCGTATTGGTGGACGTTTTTTCCAGCATGTGAGTGCAAGGGACCCTGCCTACACGAGAGGTCGTTTGGCGAGGCACTGGTCTTTGCATCGACGTCTCTGGAAAGCTTTCATTTTGCTCTGTGACTACGTACAGGCATGGGTGGCCTCGGGCCTGTGCCTCTTGGTCTTGGAACAGACCTGGCAACTTCCTGCAGTCGCGTCAATACACACTGCATGACGTGTTGGTTGATGGTTGCGTGCTTGGCATGCGTGGTCGCGATGGTGAATTGATCTACAAAAAGTGGGACGTGATCACTATTCATGAGCTGGTTGCTAGGAGCTTGTCGGTGCTTCGTTGTCCTGGAGGTCATGCACGTTCGTCAAACTTTGACTTGCGTGGTACCCATAATTATCCCGAAGGGATGGTGATGGTGAAGACCTTCTTGCGAGCCTCGTTTAAAGTATATCCGAGATGCTGCAACCCCTAGGTTCGCTGTGTATAGTCTGTAGGTGCGAGCAATGGCGCTAGATATGGCTGATGTTGAGACTTCCGGAATGCGCGCGTGGATGCGAGACTTGTGGATGCGAGTGGCCCCACAGACGCATGTGGAGGGGTCAGTTTGATCGCATTCTTCGCTTTGCTTGTCATGGCTATGTTTGGAAGTTTCCTTCTTGGGATCTACTGGCAGAAGCATATGCGCCAGACGACGCGGATTGCGTCTTTGCAAGAACTGCTTACATTTCTCCCAGTTGAAGTGGGTCCCAGGCCATTGCGGCTGGGGCCTAAAGGTTCCGGGACGGGAGGCTGGCTAGCGATCTGGCGCCATAAAGGTCGAAGGGCTTAGGCGCCCGTCCTTTGGGGAGCGGTTTGGGGTTCAGCAGCTCTTGGTCGAGCAATGCTGGCAGACCCGCTGTTTCGACTCAAAAAAACCCAACCACCCAGAGAATCTCAAAGCATTAAATGATATTTTCAACCAGCAAGCCCTGCCACCCCAACCTCACGCTGACCCGGGCACCAATTCCCTCGCAACCACGTCAGAAAGGGGGTACAGCGACCCAATAAATCAAAAGCACTCTGGAGTTTTCGGGCAAGAACGGTCCAAAATCCTAATTTTGTGTCCTCATGTTCTTCTTTTCGGACACGAACAGCCAAAGTACCTAATGTTTTTAACCTCATGTTCCTTGTTTCCCCCGCCCCATCCTCGCGCCGGTCACGAGCAGCCCAAAAACAACTCATTTTGTTAACCACATGTTTGTTGTTTCCCCACCTGCCCTCGAACCAGTCAAGATGAGAAAGAATAAGGGGGTAGAGAAGCGGGGGGCGTATGGGGTGGGTGGGGGGTCGGTGGGGGCGCTGGGGGCTGGGGGGCTTGGTGAGAGGGGAAAACCCGCGGCCATCGGCAAAAAACCCGTGCATTGGCAAAAAACCGTGCTGGCAAGAAGAGCCAAGCCATGGGCAAAAAAACCGTGGCCATTCGCAAGTTCGGCCAAAAGCCCGTGGCCATTGGCAACAAACCCGTGGCCCGTGGCCATTGGCCAAAAAAAGCCGTGGCCATTGGCAAGTTCGCCAAGGGCCAAAAGCCATGGGTTTTTTGCCCATGCGCACGAAGGCTTTTTTGCCGTTAAGGTAAAAACAATATCATATTATATTTACATATGTATATATGCTCACCCCCCCCCCCAATGATCTACGCGGTGGGTCTGGGAGAGAGGGCGGGGGGGGGGGGGGGGCGGGGGCTTGCATGCACAGTAGTATGATATACAAAGTTGGCAAACTTATAATGATGATGATGATAATAACAAGAATAGCAAGAAGAATAACATAAAATAACAATGGTAATCATCATAATCATCATAATAATGTTACTCATTTCAATGATAGCCATAATAATAATCATCATCATCATGGTATTCAGAATCATAAGAAGAAGAATCATGATAATCATACTCTAAACAGTGGTAACAATAGCATAGTTATAATAAGAAGAAGAATGGTAGTAATCATCATACATATTCTTATTATAGTAATACTAGTAACACCAGTAATAGGAGGTAATAATCGCAAAAATAATAACAATAATAATAAGAACAATAATAATCGTTGCAACAATAACAAAGAAAACAACAGCCATATTAATAATACTTATCATAAGGTAAATGATGGTAAGAAGAAACATATTCATAAGAATAATAAGAAAAAGAAGAATAATAATAATGACAAGAAGATGAATATTATTCATAAGAAGAAGAACAATAATAACAATGTTAGTAGTCATAACCCTAAACCCTAAACCCTAAACCCTAAACCCTAAACCCTAAACTCAAGGCGCCCACGATGCCCGTAGAACGTGTTCCTGTCCCTTATAATATAGTTATTACCCCAACCATCGGGTCATGACCCTGAAGGCGGCTGCCCTTTTCAGGGGTAGGGGTCCCGGACCCCTCACCGCAGCGTGCCCCTCCCGACCCCCCAATTCCTTTGACTGAATAAGTTTTTTGAAGTCGGCTGTTTGTCTGAGTTTAGACCTAAACCCGAAAAAAAACAAAATTTAAGTAGCTTTTGCCGCCTTGGACGGTGGGGTGGGAGAAAAACGTTAGATGGCCCTCCACAATCGGCAAACCCTAAACCCTAAACCCTGAACCCGCCCACCACCCCAGTCTCTTGTTTTTTGGGATAGGCGGGCGCTGGTCGAGCGCTCAGTGAGACCCTGCGAGGGAGTCCCACCTCCGACTCAAGCAGTTGTCGTCACTGTTTTCTACATTGTCCTGTGTTGAAGGCTTCCTGAAGGGTCCTGCAAACCCCTGATTCCCTGGCCCCGGCCGCTGGCTGTGGGGACCAGGGCCGTTTTGTTGGCCTGGCCCCCCACCTTCTGTGACCTTTCTCTTGGGCTGCCCATGAGGCTGCATGAAGTTACGGGATCCAGGATTTGCCCGACCGTAATGCAAATATGGGTTATCAACGGTCTTGGGCACCCCCATTTATGGTTGGAAAGCAGGGGCCGGCTGGGGTCCCTGCAACCCCCCTGGCTGCCCTTAAGGCTGCATGAATCCCCGAGTTCCAGGATTTGCCCGGGCCCGTAATGAGAATGTGGTTGTTTAGTCATGAAATCGACGGTTTTGGGCACCTCCATGGTACTCCACGAAAGCCCCAAGAAGGCCCACGACCACTAACAGGCTCAGCAAGCTCCAGGAGGGCCCCACCCTGCTCGTCCTTTGGAAAAAGCAAGAAACCCACCCTTGGGGGAACCCTACATGAATAATTTGGGCGGGTTTAGTGTTTAGGGTTCAGGGCGTGCCAAACGGAAGCGCGCTTTGGGAGACTTTCTTTCACATTTTGCAAAGCATCACATGGGTCAGCACTCACGCCCTTTTGGGGAGCTCCACACGTGCATGGACAGCTTGGGTTGGGACCAAGCCAAGACAGAGGGCAGTTTTTGGGCCACAGCCCTGCCTGCCCAATGTGCGCAGACACTGGAAGTGCAGCTCATGCTCAACACAACTTTTTGGGCTTGCATAGTAGCTCCAAGCGATGGCGTTTGTGGCTGCCGGGTGTAGTTCTGGGTCCAGGCACCCTAGAAAAGGGTGGGTACGAACTAAGCAGGCCTGGGTGGGAATTTAGGGCTTCGGTTTAGGGTTTAGGGTTTAGGGTTTAAGGTTTAGGGTTGAGGGTTTAGGGCTTAGGGCCTAGGGTTTAAATGGGGTGTTGAATTTCCGGGTCCTCTTCGGCCCGCCCGCTTACTGCAGCCGACCAACATACACCCACTCCGCGCCGTTCATGAGGCGGCCCCACCCAAACCTTTTAGGGTTTAGGGCTTAAACTTTAAACTACACATTCATCTTTAGAAGAGGCTGACATGGAGGAGCACGTAAAACCATCGATTGTACTACAAAATAGCATTTTTCGTTGCGGGCATGGACAACTTGGAATTTTTTGCCTAACGGCAAAATGGGGATGCGAAGCATTCCCGCTATGTCTGTAGCCTCCGAAAAAAAACTGTGGTCTTTAGAAGCCGCCAGCGTCAAGCGTCAAACGATT